CTTCCACTCTTACTCAACAAAAAGAAAGCCATACTCCGGTGTTATTGCAAAACTAAGTCAATAAATCAGTTATTGTAATTGATACATCATCATCGATCATTAAGATGTTTATCAAGCATTTGATATGTATCTCCTCTACAAGTTTTTGGATAAAAAGGGACAGAAACTTATTTTACCTCTACAAAGTAGAACTTCTGGATTTAAAAGACAGTAATTCTTGATTTGCATAGGTTCCAGAATGCATAGATAAACTCGCTCAAGCAGGCTTGAAGATTTGGCTGCTTACCGGTGACAAGAAGGAGACTGCAATCAACATTGGGTGTGTCTCATCATTTGAAACTCGCTAGCTGTAATGATACTTGATCAGTTCATAGTATGGACCAATGTTTATGACCATCTTAATCTTGTAAGCTAATCAGTTCATCTATTTTCTCTTTGCCTCTGCTAGATTCGCGTGTAGCTTGCTTCGACAAGATATCAAACAGTTTCATTTGAGTTCTGTCAAGGACTTGGGACGCAGCAACCAATCGGAGGCGATACTCGTAAGATTTCCGACACATGAATATTTAGTGTTGTTATAATGTTAGTGTAATAGAAATGAGAAAATTCACATGCTTGACAATACTGTGCATCAATAATATTTACTAATCATACAAGAATTTGCAGTACTATCTATTTAAAATTAGTACGAGTCAGTGACTTGGTTCGGTCATTTATCAATTTAAATTCTTTTTCCTTTTTTGGATGATCGAATATATATGTCAAGATCAGAAAAATGAAGACAATAAGCATCAAAAGCAAGAGGGCAAAACATAGGTTTATGAGCGAAGTAGTCACTGCAATCAAAGTACCGGCAGTTGCCTTGTAACAATTTTTTAATTTGTTCTAGAAGATGTTTCAAATGCCTGAGATCCTCCGCTTCTTTGAGGTTGGTGATGACCAGCAGCGTATCATTTTTTCAGGCGGCGAAAAAAGATTTAGTAAGCCAAATCGAAAGCTTTTCTCAAGAAATACACGAAGAGCACGACAAGCACATGCCCTTTGCTCTGGTGGTGGACGGGCAGGCCCTCGAGATTGCTTTGAGAAGCGATGTGAAGGATCAATTCTTACGGTTGGCTGTCGAGTGTGCTTCTGTCATATGCTGCCGCGTGTCACCGAAACAGAAAGCCCTCGTAAGATTTCAGTTTATTTCTAAGTGTTATCGTCAGAAAGAAAATCCTGCTTATCTTGCTTAATAAGTTTTTCTATTCACACCCATAGCACTAAATAAGAGAATAATGACACTAAGTAGGAACTTTCAGATCACCCGATTGGTGAAGGAGTTCACCGGCAAGACTACCCTGGCAATAGGAGACGGCGCAAATGATGTCGGCATGATTCAAGAAGCCGACATCGGAGTTGGGATTAGCGGCATGGAAGGCATGCAGGTGAAGACTAGTGTCACTTCATGTCGCCTTTTTGACTAAGCAAATCTTTTCTGAATTCTAATTCAGACCCCCATTGAAAGCTGAACCATGACATGCTGTTAATTTACTTATTTGTTTATTTATGTTGCAGGCCGTCATGGCTAGCGACTTCTCGTTGCCCCAATTCCGGTTCCTCGAGCGACTCCTGATCGTGCATGGACATTGGTGTTACAAGAGAATCTCTAAGATGGTACTAATTTGTCCAAATTATACTCTCGAGGACACATGTTAGTGAACTTTTATATCTAATGTGTTGCATTTGTGTAACAGATCCTTTACTTCATATACAAGAATATTGTGTTCGGCTTGACGCTATTCTACTACGAGTTCTACACATCGTTCTCCGGCCAGGTACTGTATGACGATTGGTATATGACGGCATTCAACGTCCTGTTGACATCGTTGCCAGTCATATCCTTGGGAGTTCTTGAGCAGGACGTTCCATCAGATGTGTGTCACCAGGTAGAGTCTAAAAAAATCCACGAATCGCTGGTTTACTTCAAGTACTGCAAATAGTATGTCTTCTTCTTTTTCCTTTCTTGATTTATTACGGCTCACATACTTAACAAGCTTTGTCGTCTCTGCAGTTTCCTGCCCTCTATCAACAGGGTCAAAGAGGCATATGCTTCTCTTGGAAGAGAATCATCGGATGGATACTTAATGGCGCAGTTGCTTCCTTGATCATCTTCCTCTTAACCATACACGCACTCTCTTCAGTCGCCTTTTCTGGGAAGGGCAACGCCGCTGACATGGCACACCTCGGCACGATCACATACACATGCGTGATATGGACAGTAAATTGCCAAATTGCCCTCATAATCAGTCACTTCACTTGGATCCAGCACCTGTTCATCTGGGGAAGCATATTGCTGTGGTACATTTTCCTGCTTGTATATGGCGCGCTCCCTCCCTCCTACTCGAAAACGGGATTTCATGTGCTGACTGAGGCCATTGGAGGCTCTCCTAGCTTTTGGATCATCACACTGCTTGTGGTCGTTGCGTCACTGCTTCCATACTTCGTTTACATGGTCCTGCAAAGGACATTTTACCCATTGGACGACCACGTGATCCAAGAGATGAAGCACCGCAAAAAGGACGTCATCGACAAGCAGATGTGGTTGAGAGAGCAGCAAAACTCAAATAGGACGACACAAGTCGGGTTCTCAGCCAGAGTCGACGCAAAAATACATCATCTGAAGGAAGCTATACAGCGGAGGAGAGCATCAATCTACAAGTCATTCACCAACAGCCCTATCTACAGGACACTGCGAAGTAGCCCATTGTTCCAATAGCCGCAGTTATTCAGAATTCTGGGGAGAAACCGTGCTCGAGATTAGACATATTCTTTAATTAGTTTCCTTCGTAACACACACGAAAATACCGATAAAGATTACACTTCTTGTATGTGGTTCTGATAAAAGTTTCGCTTTCCTTTTCACTTGTCTAGACTATTGATTTGGGCAGTGGCTACTGAGGCTCAAGGAATGAACAGCATTGCTATACATGGGGCTCTTGATGTAGTTTACTGTAACTGCTTGCTTCGTTTTATGATTCATGTGGTATAGTCCTGCTGTGGCCTTTTGGTTACTCCGTCTCTTTTGGGCAAATTAGTTCAAAGTCAGGTCGCTGCTCGTGAACTTGATCACTTACTACACCTACTCACGGGAAACAAATTTTTTTTTTTTGGGGTTAAAGTACAACCAAGTTCAGGCCTGGCCAATACCGGCCAGGCCCTTGCCGCGCTCGCCCTTTGTGGACCGTTTCATCTCCGATCGGGGCGGGCCCACTTTCGGGCCTAGCAAAGCCCAGCCTAGTAGTCCGGGCCGGGCCGGGCCGGGCCGAAAATTTCATTGGAGCCCGGCCCGCACGGACCGTGGTTACTCCTGATGCGCAATGAGATTGATTAATTTGGGAGGCATTGTAGCCCGGTCAACTCACCTCGTGCTTCTTAGGCACTAGGCCTATTTGGTAAAACTGAAAATTTTTAGGTTGTGAGAATCTAAGTGTTGATAAGTGTTGAAATTAGAGATAAAGATTGCTAGATGAAAATTTGAAAATCGATAAATATATATTATTAATCTCTTACCAAATATTAAAAATGACCATTATTGGTAGGTTTTTCATCAATATAGTTTGAAGGATTTTAATTACCATCAATTATTATTCTATTGAAAGAATTGGGTAACCATAATATTACTCAACAAATTAAGTGATTTTTTTACTTAATTGAATCATTTAAGTCAAAACTATTTATAATTATCGGACTTAGTTAATTTTATTTAGTGCGGAATGTATTAATTTTCAGTACTAATTGGAGTTATCACACAAGAATCTGATAGCCATACAGCACGCGGCCCAGTGATAACGGAATTGGGAAGCGAGGACGCTACTATCACAAATTGGGCGGATTCGACTCTCATGCTTTGGAAATAGGTAAAGCAAAAGTCTCTATGAGAGAGGTAAAGGAGAGTTAGCGATCAAAATATATATATATATAGAATCTGATAAGTAAGGATGGGGTTACCTCTTGGGTAGAGAAAGTAAACTTCACGTCAACTTCGGCTAGCTATCTCCGGGTAGGCAGGTATAGTAATCTCTTATGCTTGAGATGACAAGAGGGGAAGTCTCGACTTTCTACAGGTCAACTTGTGCTTCGCACAAGTTTGTCAACCAACTAATTGACCTGTACCGCCGGTTTACAAACTTGTGCGAAATGTATTAATTTTTAGTACTAATTGGAGTTATCACACAAGAATCTGGTAGCCACAGCACACGGCCCATTGCTAAAGGAATTGGGAAGTGAGGACGTTAGTATTACAGGTTGGGCCGATTCGACTCCCATACTTTGCAAATAGGTAAAATAAAAGTCTATGAGAGAGAGAGGTAGAGGAGAGTTAGCGATCATACAAAAAAAAATAGAATCTAATAAGTAAGGATGGGGTTACTTAATTCCTTTAATATAATTTAAAAACTTGCTTGTTACCATGTTAAAAGCCCAAAACCTATCGGTAATATTCATCATTCCATATTGGTGTAAGAAGGTAATATTACTCAATACCAAGATTTTGGCTAGGCCTAATTCCAACAAAAAGCATCAATTTTACCTTGAATGACAATTCTAACATAAATTCTTTTTTGTCTCATAAAAAATCACTAACTTTCGCTTAAATCCCAAGTATAGTTGGAACAATTTGAAAATTTATATCACCGGGGCTCAAATTTAGAACTCAAGTAAGAGTTGGTGCTTTTTATTGAGACAAAAAAAGTTCGAGCCAAAATTGTCACTCAAGGTAAAATTGATATTCTTTTTTTTTTTCGGAATTAGCCCATTTCGACTATTATCGACACGACCTTATATTTTTATTTTGGGCACTTCAAATTGAGTACTTACTTTTGGTTTTACAAAAAAAGTGCAAATTAGTATCTTAAGTCGATTCTATTTTAAAATATCAAAAACAAAACTATCTAATCAATTTGTTTAATTTTAGATTATAGTGTTTAACCCTTGCAGTTAATGTTAAGCTCAGCTTCGCGGCAAACGATCACTGCCTTCTCTCTCTCTCTCTCTCTCTCTCTATCTCTCTCTCTGGTGTTCGGTCGGTCGGCCGGTCGGTCCAAGGTGCGTCCATGGATTCCGAGGAAGACATCCTGGGAAGCAACAGCGTCGAGGATGTCGCTTGGCTGTGTTCTCTGTCGGAATCGGAGCTCGTACGTCTTCCGTTTCTCCAATTTGCATCTCCGGTTTTCCAAGATTCCTCGCTGCGTGTCGTCTGTTTCCTGTCGAGATATTTTGTTTCTGTTATTCTCGTTTCTGTTTGCGAAGATTTGACGAGGGATTGCCGTTGGGGGGGTGTTGTTTTTGCCGCAGGATCTTCTGATGAGCTTGAAGGCGCTGGCGCTCCAACGAGCGAGGGTGATCGGCCGGGAGCATCTCGCCGAGAGGTTCGATCTGAAGATGCTCCGAGCCATGGGTACGTGCCCTGTTTCTCCTCTCTTTAAGCGAATTGGGTTTTGTGGTGAGCTACTGGGGGGTGCGAGTATCTTCCTCTGCGACCGAAAAGAGGGAATTTTTTACCCTTTTCTGGATTTTTTTCTCGCCCGTGTAGGGAGTTGATCGGACATGTAAAAGATGATTTTTTTTTTCGGGCTGCGGCACAAATTTTTGCTTCATGCTTTCCTCCCTTGATGTAATGGAATGGGTTGAGGTTAACTTTGGCTGAATCTGGTGTTATGGTTGTAGTTGATAACGTGAATGCACCATGTTATGGTTTCCAAATATAGTTCCTGAGCGTCCAAATTGATGTCCATCTGTAATTTTGGTTCAAGGAAACGATGACAAACGCATTATCTGCGCAAGCTTCTATAGAATTTCCTATTGTTTTACGAAAAGTTCCTAGTCCTCTATGTGCTCATGTTGTGGTGTATAAAGTTTACTGGGTGAAGCTCTGTTACTGTATTGTTAGTTCCTGGAAGGATAACCACTCTTTGTAGCCTTCTGTCATCGTCTTTTATTGGGTTTTTTTCCTTTTGTCAAATCAAGTCAAAAGCTTACTTGAAGAATGCTGCAAAATGTTTATTCGAAGTAGGGGACTGGCTGTCTATTCAATGATTTGTTGGTGCTGGGTTCCTGAGTTTCCCAATCTGTTAGCAATGTTCCTGTTGTCACGTTTCTCAATTCGTCGGCAATATTGATAGATCTTAGTTTTTAATAAGATCTATGAGTAGGGAGTTAGGTAGGGATTTCATTGATTGACAAAGTTGATGACTAGACCATCTATATGTCAGGGAGATTCATGCATCCATTCTTGTCGAGATTGTTTCTTGCTTTCTCATACTTTGGCAGCTAGTTCCGGGTCTCCCTAAGTCCACATGCTATCTTTACTTTTGTATACATGGGTTACTCTAGGTGCTTATGAGTTATGGATGGATGTTGGTTCTAAGTGAGAGTCGGTAATACGCGTGTTAGAACTGAAAACGAGATGCAAAAATGCTGTGCTGAGCAAAGAAAAAAGAGAGAGAGGGAAAAATAGCCTCAGCCATTTTAGGGGGTTTTTATATATATGTATAAAGTCCTTGAAACCTATGCCAACTCTATTGTGTTTTCCAGGTTCAGTAGTGATGCTATCTAATTCCTGTTGGAAACCTTTTTGAGTTGAATAAGGAATGAGTTTTGCTCCTCCTGCGCTTTTTAAAATTTGCGCTTCTCATACATTTGGTTAGGGACCATATGTAGGTGCTTATTGCACATGTTATGTCCTTCTCTGTTGGTCTTTCATTGCTAGGGACATTAAAGTTTACTTAGATGTAGTAGCTGATGTAGTCAGAGAAGCAAAATATAGCAAAAGGAACAAAAACAGGGCTAAAATACCTATTTATACACCCTTGATCTAACATAACTACTTCTAATCTATACCATTGGAGCTCATTAAAAGCCACATGACTGGGACATGAGTGTTTTTTAACCTAATAACATATTTAAAGACTCAATAAAGAACAAAACACTTAAAAATACAAATAAAGTTTATGCTCCTACGTCATTCTCCCTGGGTTGGAGAGAGTCAAGCTTAGTGTTGAAAACATTGACGAACTAAGCTTGTCTCTGGATCGACCTTCTTCATCTCCTCTGCCAAAATCCAAGGAAGGTACCAGATTTACCTAACCATTTCACTGGGAACTTTCCATCCATATTACCATTCCTAGTAAGTATCATTCTTTGATTGGAGAAAACTCGGCCTTGATGTAGCGGATTCCTTCCGATCATCGCTAATATTCGAATCCCATCATCAAAGCAATCGAAGTTTTCTTGCTTCCCGAAAGCTTGCCAATTGATACTTTTACTCAAACCCTCAAATTGATCAGGAATGACAAAATTTATCATCAACATGAACAATAGTCTCTCTTCATCTTTAAATTAGCCAGCATTTCCTTCACATGCTTGCTTATCTTCTTCTTTAATACCTATTGCATATTGATAAGTAACTGAATCAAAACCTTCAGAAAGACTTTTCCCCGTCTCACTTGAACCATCAGTACTTTTGACAATTCCATCTTCTGCCAGTAAATTTACTGCAAACGCTTTGTCTTGATCACCATAGTCAATCCCATACAATTGTTGCATGATTTATGTCATCCTCTCGTGTAACTGTTGTTGTTTCATTTTCAAAATCTTCACGGAAAGGATAGATCTCTTCATCATGATCTAAGGCATGATGCAGTAGCTCTTCCAATCCACTTTTCTCTGGTCTGGCATCATGAAAGGGATTTTCATCAAATATTATTATTATCATCCTTGAAACCACCTTCCGGCATGTCCAGGATCGCAGTGACCTTCTGGATTCTTCATATGGGCTTTCACAGTTTCCTGTCACTGCAAAGTTTGAACAGCCTGCAACAAGTCTTCAATCATACATCACATCTCAGCCATCTCTATTTGTTGAGCTTGATTGCCTCTTCCATGACCTCTTCCCCGTCCGACCATCATGTCGAAACGAAAACCGTAATTGCAAGTTGGAATTGTTGTAGCTCTAATACCAATTAATAAAGGAAAACCGTAACAAGGGGATCTAATACCAATTTGATGAGGTTGGAGAATTGAAAGATAGCAAAAAGAATTAAAACAACTTGAAGATGGAACAGAGAATGGTTATTCTAGGATTTATAAAAATCAATGATGTTTGTTGAATGAGGAAAAACTAATGACAAAGTGAGTAAAAGGCCTACTTGTGCACCCTTGATCTAACATAATAATTTTTAAGCTCGACCATTGCAGCTCATTAAAAGTGACATGACTACTACATTTCTGCTTATTGGCCTAAAAACTTGATATAAGACTTGTTAAAAAGAATACACTTAAAATACTAAAAGAGATCAATAATGTTCCTGCATAAGTTGCTTTCTGTCATCACATGCGATGTTGCTGTTGTAGCCTTGACTTAAATGGGTCATTCATATGTCTCCATTCTGTCAGTCTTCAATAAGTTTTTATGGCTCATATGCATGAAAGTTTGGTTTAATATATGCATTCTGACCTAATTTTTTTTGTTTTTATTTTTTGGGGTGCTTTATAGGGATGATTTTAATGGAGCATCTCAAAGGGAAGGTTAAGGATTTGGAAGGAATCCCTGGTTTGGCTGGTTCTGCCTCACATCTAGATACATCCAATTTATTGAAGTCGAGTCTTGAGAATGGTACGACACTTGAGGACATAAAGGCATGTCTGGATACTCATTTGAAGAAAGGACCATTAAAGAGGTAGGTCGTTGCTTTTATGAATATGTAGTCAGTCCTGTAACTTAGCTTATTTTATTATTTTTATTTTTATTTTATAGTGGATCAACCTATTGTGAATGATCAGAGTTTTTTTTACTTTGCAATGTCCTATTATTTTTCGAATACTTGCATAGTTTCTTTGGCTACTGTTTTAGGGTTGTGGAAGTATGTCTTAGTGTGCCTTAGGGTGAACCACTAAAACTAAGTTGACGAGGATACTGTGATTGAGGTATTGTATTCATTAGCCATTTCATATGATTCGCATGATGTGAAAGTATCAGCTTTTCTTTGCTTTATAATTATAACAAATAATTTGGTGATGGTATCTGTATGCTATTTTGAGTTGTTCAAGCCACACTAACAAAACACACAAAACTGTAGAATGATGTTGGATTTCTTTTGCCCTTTCTGGATTCTCATACCTGTTTTTTGCATTCTAATTCGTTCCCACGATAGTCAGTGGAGTATGCTTTATTCAGGGGGCTTTGTCAAACACGTTAGAGCACAAAACTGACCTCAAATTGAATGTTATAGTAAAGGTGGTATCTCTTACAATGAGCTAGCTGCCATACATCCTATCTGATTTAAGCCATAGATTGGTCTGGAGCACCCATATCCTGCACTTGGAAGGAACTTGACAATACCTAGGAATGAAACCAATTATTTCTTTGGCAACGTCAAGGAGAAGTTGCTCAGTCAGACTTCTGTTATGAAGAAAGCAACTGAGTGCAATATTTCCCTTGATGCTTGACAACATAGTACCCTTGTTATTGGGGAGACATGTTGTCTCTTATGGACTGATTTCCCAGAATTTTTTGGTTTTAGTTGCTTTTACTCTCCTACTAAGCCAGTGCTGTGTTCTGGAAATCGATTGGCTTTTTAACTGGTCAAAGTGGGTCAAAATTGGAATAGAAGGAGATGTATCTGGATTATGGTGGCAAAAGTATGGCTGGCATTGGTTTTTGTCACTACGAGAGATGTGACATTGCATTCAAATTTGACTTCCCAAATCGGCTCTCTGTTATTTGGAAGAGCATTAGTGTGATTTCCAACGGAAAGAAAAAGAATGATCTGATTGGAAGATCACAAAGTAGATTGATTTGATTGACAATAGCAAAAAAAAGGATATGTCAAATCAGTGAAAGAAATAAAGATTCTCATATGCCATCATGTAGCTTGTTGAAATTATCTTCACATTGGCAATATTAATGGTTTTGGTTTTTGACTTCCAAGTGGAGTATTGTTCATGCTAAAATTTTACTTGTGAAGTAATTGGAGTTTGTTATTTGTTGTAGTGAAAGAGGTTTTCGTACAATTACCTGTATCTGATTCTGAGGCTTCTACTGCAACATAAGATTTTTCTAGAACCTGTTCCATGCACCAATGGAAAGAAAATAAATTTTACAAGGGGAATATACAGAAAAGAAAACCTTCTCTTGATATCCGGCAGCTACGTTATGCATGCATGCTAATACGTTGAATTGCTATCGAATCACTTTTCAGTTGAGACTTGTCATCTCAAACTCCTTTTGTGGTTTGTTGGTGTCAGCATCTCATATTCACAAACTATCTTTATTGGAAGTTTATACTTCTTTCCTCTATTTGTTGATGCAAGGCAACGCGAAGAAGTGACGCCAGAGGAGAAAAGGCAGGATGATGAAATGTAGAAGTTTATATGACCTCATCAATTCGAAGGGACGAGTAGAAGATTTTATAAGCCCTAGATGCTTCCTTTGTTGTTTGTATGTATCAATGGTTCTGGCATGCTCATAAAGACTTCCATTCTGCTAGCTCTTTTTCCAAGTTGTTTGCCAATTCTCTCTAATCAACTTGCTTCTCTGAATCGCTTACAGGCACTGATAACATACACAACAATACAGCAAATCTCAGTTGTCATTTGCTCAGCGCATTTCTGAAGCTATGCGGTAAAGAAACTAGTGCGGGCGATTTTCTCATAGCATATACATTGTTATGACTCTAATATATATGTCACATTAATTGATCAAGGGTCCTTTCTGTCATGGATAAAGCGCAACCGTTGAAAGAACCATCAGTCGGTGTACTCATTGGTTAATTCACTCTCGCCTTGTCATATTCTCTCCTTACTGAGATCTCTGAGTGTGGTCGAGCTGTGACATTCGAAGAGGTTGCTGGCATTTACATAAAAACCTATATGTTGTTGACGGAGATGCACCTTTCTATTCATGTGTGTGCTAGCATGTGCTTATTTTTATCTTTGCATGACTCTCTGGTAGCGGTTGACTTTCGATCACGGTAGGACTTCCATCGTGGGGATATTCACTTACAAAGTGAACAGATGCGCACGAACGCGCGCATGAGAATTATATGTATGCGCGAAGGATGATGATTCAGATGGTCAACAGTATTTCCTCTCTGGGCCATGCAGCTATTCCCTAGTTATCACATCACCACATTGTTCTTGTTCTTCTGATTGCCGTTTTATTGCTAAGAATGGGATGTGTGCCTTTCGAGCGTGGGAGTCATCCCACTCCATACAAACTCTGCTATGTTATGAACGAGTCTGTGGCTGTTGAAGAAATTGTCATGTAGATGCATCCTTTGCTCTCTCATTTGAACGTGTGTTATCCAAGACACATTGAAGATGGAAAAACAAAAAATAAGAAAGTCTAATGGTTCTTGGCAGCTTTACTCTGATTTGTGAGTTGGTCTTAATTTTAAGTGTAATCTTTTAGTTTTGTCTGAATGAATTATATAGTGAGTAGCTGGTTTTCCGGTCGAGAGTCCAGTCGAAGCGATCCAAGTGGTATATAGTTAATCAGACGGTTGATATCAAATGGTTATCATTCGCTTACTTCTTCGGGGGATTAGGCTTGAAAATGGAGCATACAAATAGTACCAGAGCAAGATATCAAACAGTAAAATCCAAGTGCTACCTAGAACGACAATTTGCGGCGTCACAGAAGTTGACTCTTAAACCTCCATTGCTATAAATTCGGGGTTTGCAACATCCTGATCTTGCATATTACGAAGTTAACATATGCCCAGATTGAAATATTCGAAATGTATTGCCATTCTCGGCATTGAAATACAGGGAAAAGAGAAAGGGATGATTCTCTCTGGCGATTGCTTTAAGTTAAAATGTTCTGGTTCTATCATCTTTTGAGAAACTAGGAATTACACTTTAAGAAAGCAACAAAGTGAGTAGTTATCTTTTGGCGATTGGTAAATCCCCTGTCTAGTTTTGACCAAACAAAAAAAAAATCCCGTCTAGTACCGAGGTAGCCAAGTGAAGTAGATATCTGACCAAAAAGAAAAAGTGATGTTGAAATCTTGTAGGTAAATGATATAGTAAGTATCATGGTAATTTCCCCATTTTCTCCATATTAGTTTATCGTCCTTTGAATTCCTTAGGAGTTTTATGAAATCAATTACATAGTGTGGTTTAGCTTTAACAGAAACGGTTGGCTTAAATTTCGAGATTCATTTTGATTAAGAAGACATGGGAACTTGTTAAGATTCGGTTCTGCTTATGCCTTGCTAAATGAACTGAAAATCTATTATATTGGATTTCACCTCAACCTCCTGAAATTGGCCCTAGTATTTAAGGATTTGACTTGTGTGTGGATTGGGCGCACGACACAAGTTCTATTTCCCACACCAATTAATGCAAATGGTTCCATATTTAGGCCTTCTGCCATAGCTTAGCAGTTGAGGATCCAACTTATGCATGTGTGGATTATGCGCAAGACAAGGTTCAATTCCCCCACATCATCCATTGCAAATGATATCATATTTCGGGCATCCGTCGGAACTTATGCTCGCATCTCTAACCCAATCCACTTGGGGTATCTTATGAGTTTGGAATTTCCCTATAACTAAAGCAGGCTTCATCTCCATAAAATAGACAAAAAGATGAACATAAATCCTTAGGGCAAAAACAAAAAGATGCAGTTGATGGGTCGACGCCAAGCGTGCAATGGCTCTTGACAAGACAAGACAGAGCTTGGCTGCATTTGATGTAAAAGCCATTTTCAATCATGCCCTGTTTTTGTTTTTCATTCATCCTCCCCTTGGTGACAAGAGAATTATGATCTTCTTGTTGGCCATGCTTGTTTCTTTGTCCTTGCAAGCGCATGCCCTCACACGCCGACCTGGGCCCTCATGTTCCACAAAAATAGAATAATGAAAAGATCATATTTTGCATGAATTCTGCAGCAAATGAGCGTCAGACTCTTTACTGTATTTTAACTTATTATGGGTATTCAAGAGCTAATGGCATAGGCACTTGTTACATCCTAGCTGCTCTATCCACCATCTTCATCTGTTTGCTCCCCCGTTGTCAATGCTGCGTCATCGGATGCTATGGTTGGGGATGCATAACCCTACAAGATCTCAAAACTTCATGCGATAAGACATATAAACATGGTAAAAGATGGGTAGGCCCCTTACCCAACACGACCCTTCGCTCAACCAACTTAAACTGGATACCTGTCTTTCTACCACACACCTGATGACACTCACTAGTATCAATCCTAATACCGCAACTGTCGGAGAGAGCCCCTTTCACCACTGTCGCAGTCCCGAGGTCACGGACGTTACTGGGTTTTCCACAGTCCGACCAATCACACATACTCTCTCTCTCTCTCTCCAACCTCGACATGGACACACCAACACATCTAGCTCGCTGACAAATTAGATGTGGCTGAGGCGAAGGCACCTGTGGAGAAGGTGGCCGTGGCTGGAAGCAAGTGGCGCTGGCGTTCAGATAAGTTCTTGACTGTGATGTGGAGGAGGCAGATGGAGAAGAGAGTGGGTGGTGAGAACTGAGAATGACGGTTGGGTTTATACACGTATCTAAATCTAAACGAAAGATCAACGTAGTGTTTGATACAGGATCAAGCGTGCCCAACGTTTTACCATATACATACACGGAGAAATCAGATCCTTGATTAAGATCGAAATATTTTCGGACCAACCAAAGCAAGTTACAATCTAAACTACTTTTACGAATGAAAATAGACTTTCGCTATATCAGGCAAGGCTCCTTCTACAAGGGTGATAGGCCTAGCTCTTAAGACTACTCTAAATTTCAGATGTGTTTTCAATTTCGTGCGGTCTTCCTTTGTTAGTTTGTATTGTGTTAGCTTGAATATCTAGCACGATACTGGGTAAAGTAAGTTTCTTTTCTTTTCTCCTCCTTTTCTTTCTTGTGGGGATAACAACGTTGCCGGCATCCGAACTTTTGTCCGTTTTACAATCGAGTACCTAAAACATTTTTTTGGTCAATCAAGTGCCTGAACTTTTCAATATTAAAATTGAGGACAGAAACTGCCAATGTGGGAAAAAGTGTCAAAAAAGTTCTAAACCTTTTATATTTGTGTCAATTTAGTCCTAAATCTTTTTTTAGTGCCAATTCAGTCATAAACCTTTTGCATTGGTGCCAATTGAGTCCTAAACATTTTACATTGGTACCAATTCAGTCATAAACCTTTTGCATATGTGCCAATTCAGTCCTCAAACTTTTTTTGATGCCAATTCAGTCCTAAACCTTTTGCATTAGTGCCAATTCAATCCTTCCGGCTAATAGTTATTCACGTGTCGAGGGACTGAATTGGTACCAATGCAAAAGGTTTAGGACTGAATTGACACCAAAAAAAGGTTTAGGACTAAATTGGCACCAATGCAAAAGGTTTAGGACTAAATTGGCACAAATACAAAAGGTTTAGGACTGAATTGGCACCAAAAAAAGGTTTAGGACTCAATTGGCATCAATGCAAAAGGTTTAGGACTAAATTAGCACCAAAAAAAGGTTTAGGACTAAATTGGCACAAATGCAAAAGGTTTAGGACTTTTTTGACACTTTTCTCTGCCAACGTGTATACTAGTGCCATTAAACAGTCATTAACCGACTCCATTAGCATCCGATATGGCCTCTTGAGATGATATCACGTCAATATGGACGGCCAATATTGTCCAAATCAACGCTCTCTCTCCCTCCTCATCACCCAACATTTAAATGGCAATGATATTATTTTGGTTGAGTATAGGAGCCATGTCAGTAATTGTGTTTAGCTTTTGCTAAGTAAGAGAGCCTCGGTAGCAAAATTGCACAATATGGTAATTTATTTAACAGATACCTCACATTGAGCCAAATTTGTAAAGTTGAGATACTTGATCGAGCAAAAAATCTGTTTAGGTATTGGACTATAAAATGGATGAAGTTCATATACTTCTGGTGTCGTTATCCCTTTTTTCTACGAATCACTTGTGGAAAATCTCATGTAGGAAATCGGTACACACAAAGTGAGCCAGAAACTTGGAGAAGTCAAAACTCTCATGCCATTATTGAGGCTTTTTCCATGCCTTGCAACAACCTATGAAGTGTCGCATTATTAAAGTGTTGGTGTTCTTTGTCCACAAGAATCAAAAAGCAAGCGAGGACCAAGACAATGATTAAAGACCCTCCAACTTGTCCCCATACCCTTGTCTTCTCTTCGGAAAATCCCAACATATATACGTAACAACATTGACAAACGGATGGTATTGCACGTGCACGTACAAGCCAAAGTAAATACAAGATCATAGTCCAAACCGCAAGCTTCCGATCAATCCCGACCATTTCTTTCCCATGCGCATAAGCACCCACCCATTATTTATATGAAAGAGATAAGGTTCTTTTTCATAGTATATTACTTTAATTATTTGAAAATATTCCTATTGCTTGTTCCAATAGACGAAAATTATTGGATTTACGTGGCGACAATAAAGTTCATGTCCCCAATGTGTTACGAAAAGTAGGTGTCAAAGGCATGCAAAAGGATCTTATCGTATCCCAACACTATTATATAAAGATGGCTGATTTTCAAACTAATAAAATTGATTATAGGGGTCTTAATCAAGTTTTGATTAGTGGATAATGAGCGTTGGACCAAAAAGCATTTGCTTCAAGATTAAGGCAGGCCTCACCATCAATGATGTTAGCTTCCAAGATCATTGAGTGGGGCACATTGAAGATGCTGGAGAGGGAAACCGTCTCCAATCAAAAGAAGGGTTTCAACTTTTCTGCCCCATTTTCTAATTCGATTCGGTTTAATTTAATTCGACCCGGTTTAATTTAATTTAAGTTTCGATTTGAGATCAGAGTTATCACATCGATGCTTGATCTTGTTGATATCAAGGTCCAGGCAGGATCTAGCAATGGCGATCTTAATCAAGGAATAATTAGCGAAAAGTTGGGATGCAGAAGCAATG